ATTATTATTATTATTATTATTTGGCGTCACAAGATCAAAAGTATTCCAGACTGGGGAAAACGTCTTGGAACGATCCATGAAGTCAGTGGAACAAGGTGAGAGCAAAAATCCAACAGCAAAAGTCCATCCAACAAATCTGCAACATGTCGATACAGTTTGTTTCCTTATAAACACACTTTGACGTGGCACATCCAAACGACACTTTCTGTATTGGTCACATGACTTTTCTTAAAGTGATACACGCACCAATATGGGGTTTCACTCTTGTGTGCTCAACACAGTGCTGACGCACCAATGTAGTTCATCCCATTACTAGTTGAGTGAACTACTGGACTACTAGACCAGGTGAACTGATGCGGTCTATGGCTAAGTCTCAGTTCAGGGGCTGCTGCTCATCCAAGTATCCTTCCCAACTGAGGATATCCCAGGATTCATTGCACTGTCAGCAAACTGAGCAGAGAAACAAAGGCAGTGGAGTTGTTTTTTTAACCAAGTCGAATTAGTTTTTAAATGTAAGATTAGTAACTTAGCTGCTGAAATTTATGCTGCAATGACACGTTTAATAAAATGCAACTATAAGTACTGACACTGGAGCTAAACCCAGATGATTAATACACATCCCAACACATTTTAAATCTGAAGACACGGGATAGAAAACGGATCACCGTGATAATGGGGGAGTGCGTGATCACACAAACATGTCATCTGAAGACTAGACTGTCTCACTTCACAGCTCATTTATGCAGCCTACCCAGACTGCATAGGGTGTGGTCTACATGGACCATGGTGTAGGTAGACTGCAGCCCCTGAAACAGTTTGTGTTCAGCACACTTAGGGTGTATTCACAGCAGCCCTGTTTAATCAAACTCTAGATCGTTTGCCTAGAAAGTCTGTAATCGAACTCTGATGGACCAAAAACGTGAACTCTGGTCTGCTTGAAAACCTAGGTCTTGGTTCAGCTGATGCAGTTTGACTGCTTGTGTGAACGCTAAGCGGACCGTAGACCACTCCAAAAGCAGGAAGTGGACTATTAACTCCGGTCATTCTGAGTAATAACAGTAATAAAGTTACTTATATCTTATAAATACCTAGCTACACATCGGTATAAGGTGGACCATTGATCTATATTACTGGATTGGACATCGCCTATAGCCGCTATAGCTAGCGACACGCTGTCACAAGAGCCATTACTATGCATTGAGTCATGTCAACAAAATGGTAGAGTTTCAATGCGGGAGGTGCGTCAATCTGTCACAAAAATATTCATAGCACCCTCGTTTCTTATTCAATTTAAATAAAGTATGGCTTAAATTAAAGCTGAGAAATTGTCGATGTTGTGATATGTAAAAAATATGTATTTGCTCAAGAGATGAATCTATAAGCAGTCTGGGAACTTTTCATTATAGGTTTTTGCTAACATATTTACAGTAGAAGCCCCTTTCTGTCACATAAAACTGAGTCATGTGTGTCATATATATATATATAAATAAAATTTTGCACTTGTTTCCTGGTTCTTCATTCGCAATGAAGTGACTAAAGACAAATTCCTCTAACTGGTCATAAAATAAATGCGGTCGGCCCCTCCACCGCTTGGCTTATGAAAGGTACGGTGGAGAAAAACAGTTCCAGAGTTTTTTACTCAGACATATAATCACAAACTACAGGATATACCATATGCTGACTGGACAGAACATCTGTACCAGTAATATCTACACAGTTCAGCCTACTAGTAAAGGTAATTTTACTGTTGTCCATTATATTTACCTCTCACAATGTTATCCTAACATAATAACAATATTAATAAAAATTATAAATATATATAAATATATAAATAGCAAATTTGTTTTTTCGTTGGTTTACCCGACATAAGGT